CAAAATCAGTCATATGTGAGTACTTTCTCCAAGAGACTTCGTATTTTAGACTTCCTATTTGGAAAAATAAGGAGCCATTCTATATCCATCTGCTTCCTATTTTCTGTTGTCCTCCAAGAGTCTCCCTATTTTATAATTTGAATATGAACCAGGGCCACAAATCGATGGGGTCTTGATCGGGCAGCGGCGGCGGCACCTTGTTTGCGGCAGCTGCGGCGGCGGCGCACCTTACATCCGGTAGTGGCGGCACCTTTCTGGCGGCGGCGGCTGCGAGGGATTCGACCTGTTCAGGGGCGACGGTGGAGGGCGGCGAGAGGGCGGCGGTGGAGGGCGACGAGGGGGAGATGAAAGTAGCAGGGAGGAAAAAGATCGCGAGAGGTTGAAAATAAAGAGCGCGTATCGAAAGTAATGGCGGGGAGATGAAATGGGGGGTCGTTTTTCCCTCCCCAGAAATGAGGAAGAGAAGCCTCTATTTGAGGACATCCTAAAAATAGGACCAAGTTTGGGGGAACTGTTGGCGACAAATTTTGAGAGAAAATCCCTATTTTTGAGATAAGAAAGAGGAATAGGGAGGCTCTTGGAGATGCTCTTAGACTTGTACCATACATATTTTCACCATTTGTATTCTTCAATAAATCAAAATAAGTATATGATATTCCTTGGACAGTTAGACTTTAATATAAAACATATAAAGAATATTATTGGTAATTCACCCTGTTAGTTGTTTAATTATAATATTATTTAAATTAAACTTTGTTGACTGTTTATTATTTTTGTTTTAATTAGTTTTTTCAATACAAAAACCAAAAGATGGGTAAACTATCAAATCGGGGTATGAAAAGATTTTTTTTTTCAGTCCAAGACTTAAATGTTATAAACTATCAAATTAAATCATATAATTAATAAAACTCATAACACCATTAAATTGAGAGTTAAAAAAGAAAAGATTGGTGATTAGTCATATAAAATAATAATTAAACATTTGTATAGCATAAAAAAAAGAAAAAAAAACAGAAATAGACGATAACAAGAAAACCGAGCAAGAGCTTCATACTTTCTTTAAATTTCTCCAACAATCTCGTATTTTCCTTAATTTTTTTTTTTTTTACTTTGTAACTGATTTGGTATTATAAAACTTCAAATTAACTCTTAATTTAATGGTATTATGAGTTTTATTAATCCTAGTTGATAGTTTTATAATATTTAGGTCCCAAATTAAGAAAAAAAATCTTTTAAGTTCGAATTTGATAATTTACCTATCTTTAATAAAAAAAA